GTAATAAAGTATGAACATATGGTCAAATTGTGTGCCAGTTTTCAATGGGTTTTTAAGTAAGTTTAGGTGTGGTAACNCTTTTACACAAAATATTAATATGATTAAGGGACAAAACAAGGGTATAACTTTTATTTATATAATATTATATAATTACGAATTCAAAGCAATTAAACAAATAGGGATATTTTCTCATGAAGATTCAACTTAGCAAGTGAGACTGCACGAAACAGGCCATCAGTTCCATAATGCCAAAAAGAAAGCTGAGTTTGCATAGATAGGGAGCGACATGCCCTTATAGGCTACAGATAACAACAATAATATAACTTACGATATACTACTAGCGACTTGTCTAATAAGATATATTAAATATTTTCATTTATAAATGAGATTCTACTGTTGTCATAGTAACAATGTTATTCCAGATCTCATTAATATTTAGCACAAAATGGTCTTATCCAAAATAACAAGGTATCAATGACAACTTTGTTCTATACAAAATGGCACGTTGCACCATGACGTTAAGCATATTATACAGTTTGTCGCCATGGAAACAATTGGTTCTATGGTAAAAATTTAAGCAGCCAAGGCAGCTTCCAGAGCCTGACATTTTTGTCCTCCTTTCACTACAGATACAGGACGACTGAATCGCTTACCTTCGGTAATACATAGATAAGTCTGAAATAAAAAGAATTAAACCTGTGTTAGGGCAAAGATAATGGCAAAACAATTGACTTCTTCAAGCACAAACGATGATGAATTCCCTCCTTATTCCCAAAATAGCACATATGAATCGATTAGTGCTCCGTCATTAGTAGTTAGTTTGTTTGTTAAGGACGGTGTAACAATTTGATTTATCCGGCTAGCTGTTTGCCAGACAGCAGAGCCTCGGATGTTTTGCATTAAAAAACTTTTCTTTACATGAAATATGATAGCATGGATTATAGAAGAAGTTCTACTTACATGAGCATAAGGGAGACCATTACGTTTTTCCTCAGTAGAAGCATTAACTCCAACCACAACAAAAACTTCTTTACCAGAATCAAATACAAACACATCCTACAAAATTTTAAAGCGAAATGTAAGATGGTTTAGGGTTCTTTGGAAGAGTTTTGGGAAAAAAGTGAAAGTAAGACAAAATAGAGGAAATGAAAACATGTTATATCATTTGATTCTGTGGTTTCTTAGCAAAACGTAAACCTTTCTTGAAGTTATTATGTTCTATCATCCATGTAAATACCAAAGACTCAATTCCGTAAAAGTACAAAGTCCTCTTTAATAGTATGTTAAATTGAACAGCTATGTATTAAAATCACTTACATCATCAGATAAATCAGATCTGGAGACGGGTTCACCTTTCTTAACGGTTTCAAAATTACCGCTAACATATCTGTAATATATAATAATTAGTTAACATTTTAAAATATTTAACGTATATTGAAGTTAAACGTATATGATGATCATTTTGGATTTGAGTCGTATTTTCTTCGACACTTTTGTTGCCAGGTAATGGTTTCGGTACGATAATTGAATTTATGTTTGACTTCTGACAATAAGACATAATGTAAGATTAAGGTATATAATACCCATGACATGGTGATAAGTTAATATTTACCGGAAGAGAGCGTTGTCGTCATCATCATCTTCATCATCGCTATCGTTATCCTCGGGAAGTTCATCAGTTAAAGCATCATAGAATTCATGCTGAAATATATAAACCGCTTTTGATTAAGTGTAAACGGTGAAGTTTGCTGTAAAAGCATAAACAATAATACTTATATTTTATAATAATCAATATTCAATTAAATTGAAAGATGAAAATGATTTAACAGTTTCCATTGACAGGTATCCTTTAAGGCATGGATAACTGATGTACGGATGAATATCAGATACTTGGGAAAAATTTCGCGTTCATAATACTGCGTGTATGCTACATTATTGCTACTGCTTTAAATCAAATCACTTAAACCCTGCATATGGTTTCGGTATGTATTTTGAAATTAAAATGCCTTTCATAAAATAAAGGGTCATAACTTACTCCGCTTGGTGTATCAGCTTCTTCAATAGTTTCTGAATCAGCACCACCTCTTTCAGATTTAACTTTATTAAGGTACATCATAGCCTGAAATAATGAGGACCCGTGTTAGATGTAAAAATGTCATCTAATGTGGTAGCTGCCGAAGGCCAACAAGTACAAGAACATGAAATAAAAGACCCCTGGGCCAATAAACGAGAGATAATTGAAACAACCTTATCAGTCACAACCACTAATCTTCTCATCATTCGATGTCGATGCGACTATTGAAACGTATACTTTTATCATTGAATTTGCAGGAGTTATCAATCAAACGCTCGAACAGTTTCTAATTTGCTGTCTCATTTTTTCGCCAAATTATGGATGACTTACCTTGAATTTCTCATCCTTGCTGCATTCTGATCCATTGAACTGGATGAGTTTCATTCCCTTATCCAGTATATAACAATCTGATGATTTGATGATCTCACGATTAAGTGGTACCTTTAAACAGATGCAAAATATATAAAAAAACCCAGAAGATTCTAATGCAATTAAGGTACCTAACAATGGGATATATTGAAAATAATGCTATTCAACATATATCATTACATGATATGAATAGAATTATCGTATATTTTACCATAATGTGCCGAAACCAAGGATGAAGTATTTCCTTCCTCTAGGGTATATCTGCAAATTACAGACGTATATCAGCGTTATATTTCAAATTTTATATTGGACATTTGAAAACAGGGATAATATAACAACAATATGGAAAAGGCATACTTCTCTAACTGTGATGTGTCTTCGAGTTCCACTGAAGTGCATCAAACGTGTTCTGTATTCTTCAGGTGTCACGTGACGGAAACCAGTCTTGGCTCCACCCTCCATTGTTCTAAAATAGATTAATGACATTTTTAATGTTTGAAAATTATCAAAATTGCACAACTGTTGTGTGTCCATTAATGTGAACTAACAAATCTCGGATAGTTTACTATGCTTTGATAAATCATAACTTTTTATTCGTTATGACACTTCTCATAGATATCCACCAAAATTTGGTCATACTTACACTATTTCTTCGAAGTAGGATTTGAAGAGTTCAGATTCGTGTCCTTGAACTTCACGATGTTGGACGGCAGCATCGTCTAAGAATGTATCTAATTCCACTGTTTTATAAGCAGCAGTACCATACTCATCCTGCAATTATTTCAAAGATTGTATTCCCTATTCCCTTACACAATCGTATGCAACTAGCCGTTAAAACATTATGACAGCTATCCGTGGCACAATTTTGTCTTTTCGACCAAATATTGAATTGCAGTGAAGCAATAAATCCAATACCGTTTCAGTTGTTTTTCAAAACTTACTTGGGAGCTGTTTTTACCAATCCAGAAATGAACATCAAAGAGAAGACCATCTGATTCTCCATCAGTGTATGTCTGAAATATGAAAAACAGACTCAGCATATAAGAAGTGTGGGGGCAATAAAACTTGTAGTAGAGAATGAGTAAATATTAGTGCACTATCCTTGACATTGAGCCATAAAAATACTACTATTGTTCTATACAGATATTACATGTTTTATAGAAATCGCTATCGTACATCAAGGAATTGGTCGAAATAAATTATTCCCGCCTTCTCAAATAATCATCTTATCTGGAAACACAAATGTAATAAATGTTAATATACGAAGCTTTTTGTGTTTGTGTTCAAATAGATCAGTGAGGTGATCTTCGATATACAACAAATAAAGGACCATTGACATATTTTAACTTAAATTTCTTTATTGATAGTTCAGTTTGTTACTCACATTCAAGATAATATATGAATCACCATTATAGAATTTGCCATACTCTTCTTTAGGCCAGTCTTTAATTTCAAATTGCTGTAAAAAAATCAATATGATTAAAAATCGGCGAAGTAACTTAAGGCAAAAACTTTGAAGCAATCTTTAACTGTTTGGATTAGTAGTGTAAGTGGTCAGTTGCCTATCCATCACAGATGTCTTTTTTCATATTGTTTAGTCTTGTACAGTAGAAGTATATATCCTGATAGCCAGATGATAGTGGAACTCCTATTTTGATGATTATGTTAACCAGATTCGATCAATGTTATATAAAGAATCAAATTCTCCCGTCTATCTTGATACATCCTTTTAATGCATGTTTCAATAATAGCATTACTGTATAAATAACGCTCATATGACTTTAAATGGATCAATAAGAGCATGCTGAATGTGTACTTGGGACAATTTGATTGAGGATTGGGAGGAGATCATTTCCAATTTGTCGTAGTTCCGCAATACTTAAAGGTGTAACTTGGTCATGTCTGTTTCTGTCTTTAGAAAAGGAACCTTTCTTATGTCTATGTTTATGTTCATACGTTCAGACTTACTTCAACTCTCCAGATTTTGAGACCAACTTCCTGTCCTGCGCCTTGCCATGCTGGTTCACCTTCAGCTGATTCCTCTGAAATATAACAAACGTACTTGTCAAATTTTCTAACACACAGTACATAAATGTTAATCGATTAAGTTCACTTTAACAAATAATACATTGGGATTTGGATGATTCTGATTTTATCATTTAATTTATAGAAATGGAACAGAACTTGTTTTCACATTGTAGGACGAATGAAATAATCGTAACTTTACATTTTGGTATCGTAAACAGAAGATATTTAAAACTGTATGCTAACGAATGAAATTCGATTGTGTTGATCGAACATTTTCTTCCTGTGATACTTGTACACAAAATTGAAGTATCTACAACAAAATGAAATACTTACTTTTAACCTGTTTTTCTGTGTCGGATCCAAACAAAGCCATGTTGGAATCCTTCCAATCATATTTCTTAGCTTTTACTAATCCTGAAGGGAATGACAAATTTAAGAATGAATACAAGAATAGAAAGTCGCTCACATGCGAGTAAGTCTCATATTCACATGTATTTATATAATAACTTGAAAATGTATATTACGTAAGTGTATAAGACCTTCCTGCAATTTTTAAATGGACCGGAGCTTCCGGCAGGGTATACAACATCACAAGAATCACATTCTGATAATTTATATGCTGACTGTTCCGAGTCATCTATGCTCTCGTAGCAACGGTAGTTTGTAATATGTGTGACTCTTTCGCTTGTAATATATTTTATTGTAAAAAGAAGTGCACAATTATAAAGCCATATTTACCAGACATGTTGAAGATACAGTTCAAATATTATTCAACCTGTAAAATAAACATCAGACAGTTTTACATTATTTTACATTTCTTCACCGTGTTGAGCAAAAAGAGATGCTTTTCAAAGTATTAATGACTCAAGTGATTTCTCGCTTTTTAGCCATTGTTTTTGTTCTCAAATAAAAAAAAGGTCACTTTTTTTCTTCTTCTTTCTAAATTCTAGAGAATACCCTCGACGAGGATTTTAATGTGAATTCAAGGAAAGAGAAAAGTGAAAAAAATGGAATGAATGGAGTTTTACATCCTACTTTTTTGCATCGTGTGGGCTATTGAAGACGGGCAACGCCATACAGGGTACAATGAGGGACATTTTGTCATAACAGCGGCATTAGCCTGATCTTTTTCTGTCGAGGGATCTTTAACGTACATAGCCTTTAGTACTCGGTTTAGGGACTCGGTTTATTGTCCTATCTGAACCACTAGACGCTTTTTCCATGTAAACCCCTCTTACAAGAGAAAAGTGAAGAAAAACTTTAAGACTTTATATGGTTTCTGACTAGATTGTCAAGACGGCATCTTGTTGAAGAGTCCAGGCATACCTATAAATGTTATTTAGTATTGTCATTGTCTATGTGAATGGATAATTAAAGCTTTTAAAAGAAACCTTGTAAATAGTGAAGAAATGTAAAACGTCAGTATGTGGGTGTATAGAATGTAAACTATTTTATGCCTGAATGAATAAACTATGACTTGTCTACACTTACAACATTAAAACACTTACACTGACCAATGTATCATGTCAGTATCTTAATGGACTGAAAGGACGGTGTAGGTCTTATTTTTGCATTGAAATAAATCAATATATACGTCTTGCTGTTTGGCATAAAAATGGACAAAAGAAGAAGATTGCCACTTTCTTGAGACGACTATGAGTCGCGTATACGTGTACACCGTACTTATATGTTTCGACCATAATCACTACAGTAAAGAGAAATGTGAGACCAGTACTGCTAGCAACTAGACACAAAGACAGAAAATCACAGTTGCTGAGATACTTTGAATCGCAACCCACCTTTTATCGTATCATTTTGAACATTATAGCAGATATAATTTTATAAAAAGCCGTGATGTGTGTTATCATCTAAATGAGGTATCAGTTACATTCATTTGAAATATTTGGATCATTATACTCAACTCTAGATGAATTAAAAATATTGCATATCTAACATCTCCTACGACAAGAAAAGTTAAAGTCATCGAAGTCTACAAATCAAATAGAGCAGCGTTGGTCAATGAATCAGTCAAGATAGCAATTAATGGCGAAATCAATCCGAGGAAAGGGTACCAATTGCTCTACACCAAACATTGTGCATTTCTGGATGGATTTATCCTGAGAAAATCTACGTTACCCTATGATGTATTCCTTCTGACTGCTATATGTATAACATGGGTTCATGTGATGCTACTCGGTTGATCTGAGATCTGAGTGACCATTTACCACAAACAACCTAATTATACATGATCTAATAACAAAATGCTGTCTTGAAGTCATATCTCGGTAGAATCTTACGCTAAGACCTAGTATATCCCAATATATCAAAGAATTTTTGTTTTCGCCTTTTAACACACTATTACTTGCAAATAAAGAGCTATATGTGAACATTTTAGTCACTGAGTTTATGGTTTTGTAATAATAAGGTAATCTTCAGAATATCAATAGAAAGCTTGTAATGAAACTTGCAGAAAACATCAGAATATGACTAATTCAGGTCAGAGGTCACCCGGTGAGAATTCTTGTAGATCAATGCCGATCAACCCCAGTTCAGTGTTGAACTATTTATTGATCTTGGTCATATATTATTTAGAATATATTCAAAATTATCGTTGTATGTACTTTAAGTAGAATAGAATGTCCTAATCAACATAATAACATAATTAAGTTTCACATACCACAAATTCTCAAATAACAAAATCAATGTCAACCATGTGTTTTCAATTACTGCAGTTATATGAGATTACAAAGATATGGTATAATTGATTTTCCTTTTTAAAGACTGATTACTCATGGAATAATTTGCTCAAATTTAAAAATATTTGAATAGTTAAACCTTGTGTTGGTTTTTATTTTCATGTTAGAACCTTCTACACTCCTCCAGGGATTTAAAGGGGGATTATAAATCAGAATATATACCTCGACCTTTGCCAGGATTGAACCCTAGATCCCAAGTTTGGAGAGCAAGCGTCTCACTGACAACCAGACATGGACTATATAAGTAAATTCGAATCATATGAAAAGGTAATCTTTAACACTCCCACTTATCTAAAAATGAGCATTATAATCTGGCAGAGCTGAATTTCAGTGCGTTAAATTCAGGGCGTTAAAAACTTGTCACTCGTGTTCGGACGACTGAAATAAGTTCTTATGTTCCCTTCGTGCGATTTAGAAACAAGACATTAAATATATAGATGTTTAACGATCATTTTAAAGTTCAAATATTATTGACAAGTTTTTAACTGAACATTATCATCAAAATATATTACTAATTAATCATACTTAGCTATTTAACAGAACTTTAATATCGATAATTTGATATGTGACTCACTGACAAAACAAGTCAAGGTAGTCTGACATTAACTTAGTTGGACGTCTAGTCAACGTTAACAAATAAAGAATATAATGAACTCTTTGAAGAAGGAATGAAATAATGAATGAATGAGTGGATATTAGACAATGAGACCTTATTTTGTCGTCCATGGATATATCAAAATAAGTTAAGGTCTTTAAGTACGTACAATGGGACAGAATGTAAACACATGCAATGAAATATAACTACGAAAACTACCAAGTAAAAGAATGGAACCGGGGCACTGCGCTGTACAGTACAAATTATGTTGTTAGGTTTTTATTGATTTTGGAGTAAGTATACGAACGCTGTTCCCGAAGGTGATATCGTACCTTGTTCAATTATTAATACCCTAATTAATTATTGACAGACATACATTGAATAGATGAATTAAAAGAAAAGATATGATAGAAATTGAATGACATGGAGTTTTACTTCTACTTTTCTGAACTTGATAGCAAAGCAATGAAGGGAATTTTTACATAGAGAGTTGCATTGACCTTCTCTTCGAGAACAAAAATTCTGCACAAAAGTCGTAAACACAATAATTGAATAAATGTGTAGAAAATAGAATAAAAGAATGAATGAAAACACGACCTACGATATTTCCTGGCAGACTAAGGAATTTCAAAAGTGGAGATAAAAAGTATTGGGTTTCTGCCAGATGTTTTAGTTGAACGAGTTCAGACTTTTGAAGGTTCATGGTCAAAATGACTTTTTACACGCTTGGGATTCTCCTTAGTAATTTGATAGTTTGAAAGTTTGAGGAAGTTTCGCAAACTATTAACGCTAATCTAGTCACCGAAATGGCACCCAAACCATGCAATCGACAGAAGAATATAATCAAGATAACAAAAGGGCAAATGATATCAACATTAAACAGTAAACCAGACCTGCACACACATAAAAAGATAACTGTGCTTGCAATTATGAGCCATTTGCTATAATATACATTATCTGCGCTAAAAGCGGACTGAATAAAATATTCCAACCAGAAACCATAAACCGAATGTCAAGCAATTAAAAATTAAAGCCCTAATGGTTTACAAAACTACCCAGAGTCTAATATATAAAAAATCATCATTAATAGATTTTATGCAAGGTAAATAATTACATTGGCAATTTCATAATCTGATTTGACTACTTATATTTGTTAGAAATAGAATTGGCTGCAAGACATATAAATACTTGCATTGTTTCCAGGTATATGGCACAATATTAAAACCATGTTTTCTCATTGAATTTTCTCCGTAGTTTTTGTTGATTTTTTTAAAGTGCGGGCATCACTTCCTGTTTAAATTGTCCGTTTTAAACGGGATCTGAAAGACATTGTTATCCATTGGAATGATGGGGGCTATTGACCCTTTTTATAATTCATTTTCAAGGAAGTACAATATACAAATTGGTAGTTATACAATTACTACTACATTATTGTTCCTGCTTGAATGGATATGCTAAAAGTGGGCGTGCTACAATATAATGTACAAAAAATCAAAACTACAAGGAAGTTTACCTTTCCAGGTTCGTGTTATTATCATGTTTCTACAGTCGTTATTAATAGGATATATCATAATTTACGTAATATTATCTTAACATATTTTTGTACATTTACTCTATTCTGTACACATCTTTTCGACATAATAAAAATATGAACCAGAGTACTTAATTTATAAACATAACAAGCCTAAACAACGACTCAGATACATTGAAAACATAATTTCGTTTCTATTTTCGAAATGAAGCATCTTACATACATATTTTCTTATCAAATTATTTCTGTGAATACTTTTAAGAATATGTATATTGTTTCCACTCCGATGTTTAGTCATACCCTATATAGGTGTGTCAGTTAAAATGTTAATAATACATCAAAACAAAAGTAAATTTTATCATGTAAATGCAAAATACAAACCTAGGGTTTGCTAAATAAAAAGTTCTACCAATATTCTTTAAATTGTTCACCATAAACGCTAAAAAATAGCAATTTCTAAGATTTTACCTACCTTAAAAGAAAGTTAACTCGGCCGACAGCTTCCTGAATGTGAGCTACGTTTTACTGACTCA